TGTTTATAACTATCGCATTTATTGTTAAAATTTTATAAAACCTATGATAAGTTGAGGGTTTTGTTATACTTTAAAAGTGTGCCGAAAGTGGGCACTGTTGGTGCAACAGTTTTCGCACAATTCAATTTGTTTATAACGGAGGCTCCAAAAGTTATGAACTTTAAGCCTCTGTACAGGCGTTAATTTTCAACCGAACATGATTCTGAAAGCGTCATTGTAATCTTAAAGACGTAATTAAGCGACCTATTAAAAAATATCACCGGTTTTTTGACATTAACATTCTCAAATTGTGCATTAAAAAAACCGTGCGTTTTTCGCTTATAAACAATTTTAATAAAATTGTTGCTATTTATGCTACTTCACCGAAAATAGATGCAATGGATAGCTGGCAAAAAATACAATTTTTTTTTTTAAAAAGCACCCTCTACGACCAACAAGAGCCAAGATAAGATTTTTGTTTTTAAATCGTATCTCAAGTTCAAATTGATGCGCGCTGTAAACTATGCAATATCTTGGCTTCTATTCATCGTAGAAACTTCTTTTTTTTCATACTGGGGTAGCTCGACGAAAAAATAAGAAAGGACATATTTACGAATACATAGAATAGCCCTGAACCCCAGAAAAAGTGCATCTTTTATACTGAATGTTTTTTAATTTACAAAAATGTCACAACAAGTATTGTTAAACGAAATATTAATTAAAATTTCAATTTCGGAATTATTTTACTATTATTAAATAAATAAATGAAGCTATCGTTAATTTAAAACGATATGTAATATATAAATGTTTTTATATATTAAGCCAAAGTACAGTTATTTTTGCAATATTTTGTTAGTTATTTAATTACGATTTAAATGTAAAATTAAAGTAAAAATTCACAAATTATTTTCAATACAATTATGAATCCTCCTCCAAATTATAAATCTGCGACTTCATAATTTGGAGACTCTTCCTGGAATTGCAAGAAATATGAATGTATTCAATAATTTCATCAATTTTCATCTCTTTGACCACTCCGAAAGAAAGTCCCTACAATGAATGTAGGTATCGTCTTCTAACGAAAATACCATTTTCTAACCTAAAACAGTTCGAGTACTTTATATCGAAGATACCATCAGTATTTGCTTCCTTATCGCAAAATTAGCCGTTAACAGATGATTAGCGTTAAAAAACACTGTTTATTTAGAAGATTAACTATCAATTCAAATAAAAACACAATCAGCGAACACAAATAAATACAACAGCAAGCACACAAGGGAAGTATGAACGTCTCTGAATTGATAGATCGTGCCGGTTGGAAATCTAAGAAAATGGAAAGTAATTTTGATCAAATGGAAGTAAATTTAATATCTTTGGTAACATTTAGTGTGACGTCAGCTTCAATCATTCTGGATCACTCGATAACTTATTAAAACATTACTCATACAGCATTGAAACTTTTTTTACAGCATTCTTAACGCTTCTGTACCTAGCGTTTACACGTGAATATGAGAAATGAAATTGTAGTGCAATTTTTATAACAAACGTATTGTATATAGCGACACCTACACGAATACCGCGGTATTTTGATTAGAAGAAATGGGGTTTCAATTCTAACCTTAACGATAATCTCGCGCAGCTGATCTCGACCGACAAACCGCCCTGGGCAGTGCATACAACTCCGCGCCGCGCCACCTCTCGGACCCCGTCCCGTACACCGCTAAGGCAGACACCCGAAGCCGGTGTCACGGTTTTTCTATGCATTTGGCGACGTTGGAACAATGCCCATGTGGGATTCTGACCCGGATTTTTAATGTTCCTCTTGAATTTAAGGTGGCCGATATGCTAATCCATTCTAATGCCGGTCCGTTTACAACTGTTATGCTGAGTGTCGAGGTGACGGGATACGTGTATGTCTAAACCGCTCGAAAAAAACAACAGCCAGTCTATCTTTTATCATAAAATAGCACGAGGCTAGGTAAATTCTGTTAAAATCACCGTTGGTGGTAATTTTTTTTGGAAAACTGTTCGAGTAGTGGCTTTGTAAACATTAAATGTAATACTGGAGAGAGAAACCTTAGTTTAGTTGTGCTTCTCGTTCATAGATGGCGTTCAAGTAGAACGAACCGATTAAGGTTATGTTTAAACGCTACAATCAATTTTGCAAACAATAATTATGTTACATTTTTTTTAAACAGTGTATATACCTGTTAATCTCGTATGTTTCTATTGTTTTCCATTCAATCGTTTCATGATTTTTCCTTTCCTTTACGAAGATGTTGGCAATTTTCCTATTCCTTGACTATTAGTCCAGTCGGTAGAGGTTAATTTGCTGACAAAGTATTTTATCAGGAAAAAAAGTTATTAACAATTGAATTGCGAAAATTCGCTTTTTTTAATAGTTTTCTTTAAATAACTCGGCGGGATATAATATTAAAACATAAATAATTTCAATTTTCAATGTTCTTTTGTCTTACCTTGTACTTTATCCCTGGCTAGTTGTTGGTAGACACTTGTTATATAGACAATATCAGAAAATTCTCAGGAGTCGGTTCTCATAAACACACTTTGGAATGAATAGAGTTTGAAATTTAATAGTGTTTATTAAAAATTTTGCTATATTATTTTTGACTTGAAGACTTTATAAACTCAAATTTATGAATACCTTTTTTTATATAGAATATGTTTTCCACAATATTTTTAACAACAAATTTGCATTTTTCTGCTCAGCTTACAAATAATATAAGGAATAATTACAAAAATTCTATTAATTAACTTTATGCAATCCGGAGTAGGTCTCCTTATATTATTTATTGCCTATAATTCAGGGGCATCCTTATATCTAAACAAGAATAAAAATTAGTCAGAATTAAATAAAATGTCTGTTCATTTGACAGATTTTGTCAGAGCTTTTCGAAATAGTGAATTATTTAAGTTATTAGTGATTGGAATCTGCTTATTTTTGTACAGGTAAGTCCTGTGGTTTCTTATTTATACTTTGCAAAGATTTTATGCGAGAAAAAGCATGATTTATTTGGAATAGCTAGCGATATTTTAGTGCACTATGTTTTAGGTACCTGTTGCGTTGTGAAATTTGTAGTTTTCTTCGCTGAAAACTACGTACAAGCCTTGCAGACTATTTATGAGGCCACTGGAAACTGCATTGGAACTGCTTTCTACTGCTGGTAGCGGAACATTTTCATGGGCTGCCAAAATAACTTCATCTGGACTCAGGCAAACTATAGATTTACTGGTAAGTATTTAATTTTCTTCCTTGGACTCTTTCTTCTTGTTTTATTATTTTTCGGGAGCTGCAAAACCCAAGCCGTAACCAATCAATAATTTCTTTGTTTTTCTCCACCTTCCTGATTATTCTGTCCCTAGCTTTGCTTAAGGTCAATGCACAGAAATTTCAGTCTTTGGTTGTCCTTTTCAAACACTTTTTCACACCACTGCTTATAACTAACACATTTTTAACAAATGTCCTTTTACTTTTATTTACAATTCTATAATTTATTAAAATATCCTTTATTTTATATATTTTTAAGTCATCTCTGGGTATTCTTACAAAGCCACCTTTGTATACCCGATTAATCTATAGACTTTAACCTTTTCTTTGATATAAGTCACTCTAGGTTTAACTTCGTTTTTCTTTATGTACTGAGTACTAACAAGTGTCGATGTCATGCATTTTTATGAAAATTTATTCTGTACTTGAGAATAAAATTAAGATTATTATTTTTATACTATGTAATATCATTGTTCATTACTAGTTTTATATCCAGAATTTCCATATTAACAATTTTATACCAATTTGGTGTTGCTATAATAATAATTAAAATTTTTATACGACTCTAAGTTCGGTCAGGCAATATTTTCATCTGAGTTTCTACATTAACATTTCAAATTCGTTACAATATATACATTAATGAAGCTAAATCAGGAAAGCAAAACATTTTGTTCAATAAGGTTTTTATACATCCACTGCATCTGAAACTTGAAACTATGCCAAATTTGTTTGAAGCTTCGCTGACACTTGAAATTTGGTATACACATAGTGCAAATATGCAGAAACCAAAAGCAATTTGCAAAATTATTTTCATTTTTGCAGCTTTGGTGAGGTTTTATGCGTCACCCTAGTTTTATACGTTTTTCTGACCTATACTTACAAACAAAATCTTAGCAGTCGATAGTCCTAAATATTTTCTACCAGTGTAGGTACACAACTAATGTATAGTGAGTATTAGAATCTATTTTAATTTTATTGGGTTTTTTTATCAGCGGGGACCTCACTTAAATAAATATATGTTTAGTACGGTAAATTGCCGGTTAATATGGTAATAAAGCGATCGAATGTCACGGTAAAAACTTGCTACACATTTGAATACGTAAGACGCGAAACAGGACCGATTGTATCTGTCTAATGGGCCGTTTTATACAAATATCAATTTACCATTGGACTAGCGTCGGTAATTAACGCGTTAGTTCCGCATATTAAAAATTAATTAGGCGTATTTAAAGTGTAATTATGAAAAAGAACTGGGATATTGAAATTTTTTAAATTAATTTACTTTAAAGGAGAAAAATGCGTTATTAAATAAACCTGAGTTTAAAAAACTGATGTGTGTCGGGTGCAAGGTTTGAGTTTCCTCCTGATAGATCCTGATCCTCCAGATCCTGATACAGGATCATCATAAAATTTATTAAAAACTAATATTACGACGATTTTAGTATTAACGTTTTTGCGATAGTGTTTACATTAGTTTTTTAAGTGTCAAAAATGGTTTTCGTTTCAACAACATCAACATTAAAGCCTGGCTAGTGGTTATTTAAATTTGCAAAAGTGGAAACTGGGATGTCCACTTGCCGTGATTTGGCTCAGAATAAATAAATAGATACAAAATTGTCGGTGCTTGCATATATTCAAATGAAACAGGTAAATAATTGTAATAAAATGCATATAAAATTCCAATTAGCCTAAAAAATAAATAAAGAAATAAATTTAATAAATACTCCATCCTCTAACGAATATACGAGTTAAAAATATTGAGGTTCTTCAACATATCCGTACTTAGCTCCTTCTTCTGTGATAATTTCAGGTACCTTTTCTCTACTTCTGTCGGTCCAAAAAAGTCCCATATGCATAAATTTTCGTCAGTACTCGCTGTCGCTGCAAACAGAAAAAAAAATTAGGTGGCTAATTTCTCACTTGACTTTTTATGTTATATATTTACCCAATTTTGTGCCAGTGGCGTCCCACAGCAAATAGGGAACTCTACCTTCGTGAAATACAACCTCATCGACGACGTTTTCCAGGTCTTTCATCACCAGCAGCACGTGATAGTCATTTCCGTCACTTCCATAAATGTAGTGACTCGCCTACAAAGTTTATCAGTAATACAGGGTGTCCCAATATTCCGTGTACATGCTACCACAGATTCTTGCGATCAAAATATGCATACAGAATATTGGGACGCCAGATAGATTTACAATGCACTTGCTTAGACTTAGCTAAGAATCTTTGACCTACCCTTGTTATTCTTGGGCTAGGCTCTATGGAGGCGAACCCGCTACCAAACGGTGTAGGCCTACCCAGGCATTGACCTCGATTCTTGTTTTTAGCTAAAGATGCCGACAGTGAATAACGGCGAAACGTTTGGGAACATTGGATGCTCTCAGAGGCCATAACGGGACACCTCAAAAGATTACCATTGTCTGAGGAGTGATAGTGACTTTAGCACCAACAATAAGAACCGAAAAAAATATCAAGACAGACCTAGGAGTTGTTATAGCAGGTCGGCCCCCACAGAGCCTTGTGCGAGAACGACAAGGGCAGGCCAAAGGTTCTCAGCTAAGGCTGAGGAAGTGCTTTGTAAGGTACTTACCACCAGCTCTGCAGAGAGTGGGTTGAACGTCAAACAATCTATAATTTTGTTCTCATGAGGGTGAGTTTTAGAGTCTAATTCTTTTAGTGTGCTCACATTCCATAAGGCAGTATTAGTGGGTCCACCAATTGCAAGCAGTGAGTCCCTCCATGGGTGCCACGCCACAGCCTGAGAACATAATTTTTTTTCATACTTTTTGTATTATTTAGAAAGGTGCACCATCTACATATATGCCAAAAATTACACAGAGCTTCCTGAGGAAATGAACAGACATTAAGGGAACAATTAGCTTGGTAAGTTGTATCAGTGATTATCAGGGTTGTTAGTTGTTACCTTTTTAAATCAACCGTTAGAGACCGACAATGGAAAATTTATAATTTATTAAAACATACTGCTTTTGTATGGCTTAGCGATGTATTACTTTTTTGATAAGTATAAAAAATTCTGTTTTTTTTTAATTGAAATGTTTACATGATTTATTAAATATTGACTAATATTTGTGTGTAGATACATTAATAATTTTCAGTAAAATACTTGTACTGCTTTTTAAAGGAAATCCTTGCTTCTGACATATTGTTTTTAACCGATACGCTGTTGTTTGTCTGATTACATATTCCGATTCCGTACGAATTTTTACATATACCCACAACTTGATCAAATTCATTTTGTTTCAGATGCGCAATGGCAACCATCGGTATGCGTAACACTACCATCCTACCTTAACGGGCGCCTCCGTAAAGGAGATCTGAAACAGGCCTTCCAGGGTGGGCCACTTGCATATCCTAACTTTCCTGTCGAGACCAGTAGTCACGAGATAATTCTCGTTACAAGACAACTTAATGACGATGATGGGCATGTCCGTATGGGCAGTGTGGAGGGTTCTGATGCAGACCATGCAAGGGGTCCAAATGCACAGTCTCCCGCTTGAGCAGCCGGTTATCAGGTAGTTGTTGCTGGTGAACTGCATTGCCGTCACGACGCACCCACCGTAGAGGCAGAGGCAGGAACCGCTTTCGGACATCTGAAGGAAAATAATAAGGCTGGAATAAAGAACCTGCAAAATCGCAAAGCAAAACCAAGATCAGGATGGTATTGGTCTTGCCCCTGCATGTTCCGTAAGAGCAAGAATTTTTTGCTGGCTACCACAAGGGACTTAAGCTATGCCTGAAGTATGGCCTATTCGTTTCCGAATACCCTGTATGTTAACGAAAAGAAACTGGTTGAATTTGGGGCAGTCAATTGCTTTTTTCTCACGAAGGTTTTGATTTTGATACATTTTGAATTACCTCCAAAAAGTGGTGACCTCTGGCGGATAGTACGAATATAAATATACAGGGTGGCCCAATAGTGTGACAAGTTCAATATCTCTCTTATTATAAGGAAGATATTGAAGTTTGTCATACTATTGGGCCACCCTGTATAAAAGACTTACCTTTGAAGCGTTAAAGTCCCACACAGCAATGCCTGACATACTCAAGGCCATACCGAATTGCGTTCCGTCTTCGTTCCATTTCAGACATGCCTGTACTCTTCTTTGTGTATTCGTCACCAGTCTACTTAAGTTGTCATCTGGGTGCCAGAGATGGACTTCATTTTCATAAATCGTTCCAATGTAGCCTTTCTTCCCCCAATCTACCACTTGATGAGCTAGACATTAGATTTATTTACGACAGGAATTTTATTTAAATAATAAATCCTTACTAATGTCGGTATCAAGATCAGGCATGTCCAGGATAATAGAAGGCCGACCTAGCAGAGGTTTGGACCTGGGGTGTATAGGCCAAAGGCTTGTATTGCAGTTTTTTTCTCTGCCGCATCTTCCTTTCTTCTTTGGTGAAGAGAATACAAGGATTTTGTTGTCTCTGGGCATCATGGCTTTCCAAAGACTGAAAACAAAACCCAAAATATCGTCAGCAAATAAAAGAATCTTGGTCTTCATTCCAATCGTAATGTCGTTAGTAAAGATAAAAAACAGAAGCGGTGCAAGAATACTTCCTTGAGGCACACCGCCTGTGTCTGTAAAATTATGGGCGTATTTTTGAGGTTCTCCAGATGTCTGGGCTAAAATTAAATCACAGATAACTTGACACAGAACCATTTAATTATTGTTATGAATTTGTTTCTCTGTTATATGGCACCTCGTTCTAGAATGTTCTATTTATCTTAAACTGATTTTATATTATTTAATGTGTAAAAAATGCCAATTTTACTCGAAATCCATAAACGATATCAAAATTTTGTGAGAGGCAAAAAAATCTTCTAAAATAGTGTTAATTTTTAAAAATATAAATTCTGTCGTCATTGGCGTACATACAAAAAAGTTACGGGATAGCCAGTGGCGCACAGGTACTAGAAATAGAAGATCCTGTATATGTATTCTCACCAAATTCTATATTTACATTGCACTTATATAAAATAATAAGTGTACCAAATTTGAAGTTTCTAAGAAGAACAGTTTTCAAATTATTTGAGAAAAACTAGGTTATCTGTTCTATATTTAGAAGGCTATATCTCAGTAGGCGTGCACTTTTGTATATAGGTAAATTAGGCTAAATAGTCTTGTTTTCATCCAAGGAACCTGTGGTTGCGTTGTCCATCCTTTTCAGGGATACCCTGTATATTTTATGCATGTTAAAACACCACCATACCTTAGTCGTAATGTAAGAGAACAGCATCCAGTATCCAGTACGACAATGATCAGTACCCAGGCGGATGGACAAGCACAGGTCGCGATACCCCAATTCACTGGCCACCGTGTTCACACGATTTAAATCCCTGTGACTTTTTTATTTGGGGGACCATTATTTTTTCTTTTGTGACGAAAATGAGACTCAAGTTATCAGAGAATAGGAACCACAAAAAGCTTCATAGTTGCCAGAAACAATAATACGTGTATTCAATTTTGTACTTACTGTGTTCGGTACTGTGCCAGATTGTAATAATATTTGGCAGTATTCGTGAAAGTCGACGATCCAGAGTACATGATGTTGGAAGTGTCAAAATCATCGCTGTCTTCGGTTAAGGAATAGTACGACAGGTCGAAGTTGACATTCGCTCGGCGCGGGATGAATCTGTCTGAGGTATTCCTCCTAGAGTCCTAAAAAAGATAGGAAGGTTTGATCATTTTCTGTTCTACTTTGCTTTATTTAGATTTGTTAGTGACGTCAAAGGTTAGCTTAATATTAGTTTAATGGCTACACCTTTGTATTTAACATTCTTGATCCAGTGGGACTTATTTTAAAACGAAACACCCTGTAGAGGGTAAGAAAAACATCATATCTTTATAAAAGAGGCATTTATTTTCCCGATTTCATTTGTTTTTTCTTTGAAAGACAGATTATGCCCACTAATTAATAAATACATGCCATATTCGTTAATTTGTTCTTCAGTTTCAAATTAAACAACAATTTCTAGTTTCAATATATGCACCATTTATTTATAATTACAAGTAACAAAAAATTACGAATAATCTTATGTCATACACAAAAATTTCAGCCATAGTTAAGATTTTTTAATTATTTTTCAAACAATGAAGACAGAAGAAAAACATAAAAGAGTAGAGTAGAAGAGTCATTTGTAGAAAATTGAAAGACGAATCCGAAAATATCATGGTTGTTACTGTGAAGCAGTGGCGTACTATTTTATTTAGAAAAATATGCCACCGATACCCTGTATCTCTGCTACTGGAGAATTTTTAGGAAAGGCTTCAGATTTTGGACAATGTTTGCATAAATGCATGTGCCCAATTTCAAATTATTTCACTTACAAGTTTTTAAAATTATTTACAAAAATTAAATATATTTTTTGAAGTTTAACACCCTGTCTCTTTTTAACGAAGCGTCTTGGATAAAAAATTTATAGGAAAGACTCTCCTTTATAAGATTTTAATAGATTTTTCAATAAATAAGTAAACTAATTAGACTTACAGCCGTTTCGATCAACATATTTCCATTTAAAAAACAATTACAAACATAAAATTAATTCACTAAATCGCACTTTCCTCGGCACTAACAGCTGTCTAGTGTCTTTACAATTTTTTTTTTGTATCACGCCTACAAACGCTAGTATTTAAATATTTTTCGGACCTGTCGATTTGCGCGTTTTTACATTAAAGAAATGTTCATATCAGCGAGAGTTTTTCGGCATGTCTCCATACAGGCCGTTCCAAGATCCCCGCGATACGAACATTTATTTCTTTATGTACCTACTTCATATTTCGTACAAGGTGTTACATGTTATGTTCAAATTTTGCGAGCATAAAGTAGATTTAATTCAAAAATTAAAAAGAACAAACATGATTGAGTCGATCTTTATTTGCTATGGTTGTGAAATTATAAATAGTAAATAAACAGATTCATATTTGTACATAAGATATAGATTGATCTGATACTGAGAATCACAAACTAAACACAGTGCTTCAAAAAACAGTAACGGCAACTTTTAATTTCATGTATTTCGAATACTAGTTAGTGTTCCCGGCGATGAATCAATCACTTCTTATTAGTACCATTGAAGAAACACATTTTTCGCAATTAAATTGTAAATTATGGGGTTTCAATCATTTACGGCGGATTCAATCCGTCAAAATACATTAAAATAAGGCTTGAACTGGTCCAAATAAATTTATTGATTAAGTGCGAGTGATGTTCTAACGATTTTTCGTCTTTTCTGGTGATTTTTTTCTAATCATTCTATTACGGACTAACCAATGTTCAGATGATTCCGGTACAAATAATTTTTTTTCAAAACATTGCTGATGTGCATTAGTCAGTTTCTCTACGATTTTGTGTGATTTTCGGCTATTTTGAGCGACACACAGATAGCCCGCTTTTTTATTTGTGTGCCTGTTACACTAAAATCTGACGCATAAACATTTCCACCATAAAAGTTAAATTAATTTATCGTAAAATATGTCAACTGTAACTTCCCTTTTCGCTGATTTTAACAATATTTATTTTTCATTAAGGCGATATAGCTTGTTTATTACTAGGAAACAATAGAAAAACAACGTTTTCCATAAGATTTGTATGATTTGATGCTTCTCTAATAAATTTCAAAATATCATCTCTTGTCAATAACATCTTAGATTATTTTGGAATACGTCCTTTCGATATTTGCTTCAAATAAGCCTCTAATCGATGATAATGTCCTATATTTACTTTTCTGTGCACTAATAATGTGGTATACAACATTGAATACTTTGTCTACAATATGTTAGGGCTGAATGATTCTGACTAGAAGATATACAGGGTGTAGCGTGTATAACTGACCAAAATTAAACTACAGCCTCCTAACTATATTTGTAATAGAAAAGTCTTATACAAAAACGTTGTATTTTTGCGTTTTTTTTTTCGTAAATTTAAGTTTAATTATGGATCAAAATATTTTCTCTGGAACGGTCCTGTCCGTGTGCTGTACGATGAGTTACGTGTTGTAGACTAGCCGCGTAAACAAATCGTCGTTGAAAGATAGAAAGGTACTTCTCAATTTTTGGGGAATTTTTCAATGCAAAAGTACAATATAAGAAAAATAGATACTTTCTTATTATAATAATTAATAGTAATTACTATCTTAAATGCAATGTTGTTACTGTCACTTCATCACGGGTAAACGTCGCCTCATGTGTTACACTAACATAAGCAGGAAAGTCACATTGCCGTAAAAACCATCTGCAAAAACGCATTCGTTAATCACAATCCGAGGGTAAAATCAGTTGAATTGGTTGCAGATGATAGGGGTGTAACAGCTGGCGCCTTAAGATGCGATGTACGGAACGAGATGAGGTTCCTATTTGCTGTGCGCGTCGTCGAGTACTAATTGTGGGGTCTTCGTCAAGATTTTTCAACACTGCATCTTCAACATTAAGGTTCACTTGCTGACCATGTCCTTCTCCTCGAGGAATAACACTTCCCGTATCTCGCAGCCGCTGAACGCACTGTAGGATTGTATTTGCACATGGGGGTGACGTTGTGGCCATCGTTCCCGGTACAACCTAGTCGCCGCGAGCGCATTTTCTCCGGCTGCACCATACAATAACACCATATCGACACGTCAGGAAATAGTAAATGCATTATTTTCTCGGTTCATTGTAAAACTAGTGTGTGCACAAACTTAAAAATTAAGCAAAGTAAGAAATAAGAATCTCGTTTTAATGTAATCGGCACGCTATTCTTATTTTTTACTTCTTTATGAAAATTACACTGTCACTATCGCGGAATTACAAAATAAAAACTTTTGTCTGGAAACTTTCACTTTTTAACACTGATGGGTCGATGGACGATGCTTAATATTTAATAATTAAGTGAATAATGAATTCTATACAAATACAAAATCATTTGGTTGCACAAATTTTTTGACAATGTAACCTAACCTTATTTTGGTATTATTATTAGATTATACCCACTTAAATTATAAGGTTGCATCTCGGGTCACATAGAAACATTTCCAAAGTTTTTAATAAATAACACACAATAACAATTCATTTTCGTAGAATAAATGAACTTTAATTTACAAATAAAAAGCGCGAAGATAGAACTTCTATTCTATTACAAATATCATCAGGAAGCTGTACTTCAATTTTTATAAATTATACACGCCACACCCTGTATAAAAAATATAAATTATCAAAAATTATAAATATTTTTTTAAAGTGATAAAAGGTAATACACGAAGTATTTTTTGTATTCTGGAATGTTTTTTAACCCGCTGGCTCTTGCAAAAAAACTCTCAATCCTTGGATACGAAAATGACACTTCACAACGTAGAATCAGAAATAGCCATTTGTATTAGCTTAGCTCTTTTGATTGTTTCAAGCTTACACGCAAATATTTAAATAATCGTTTGTTTTTGTTAGCCGTATAAATAATTTTTCTCTTGTCCGGTTCATCTCAAAACTCCGTGGTAGATTCAAAATTGGCCCAGCAATGATCGATGACGATCTCGTCCGTATCTCCATTCGCATCTTCTGCTACCTATGCCAGCTAGCAGCAGATAGGTAACCAGAGATAAGGCGGATGCGGTCCACTTTTCATTATCTCAGATACGCCACTTATTAGCATTTTATACGGCGATATCCATCGGCGGTGTGACGAAACCGCGGTTGCATCTAGGAGGCCGTAGTTGTTTTTGTTTATACACGCCCTACCGTTCGTTTTTCTAACGGGACTAAGGTCGTGTCTGCGAGGCGGTACCGATATCGAGAATAATTGTTCGACTCGGTCGCATATTTTATATTCCCGCTTCCACCTTATCTTATTTTTTGAGAAAAATATTTTCTTTAGGTCCTACAAACGAGAATGTAAAACAAAAGAAATCGGAGTGCGGTTCTTATCTTCACTTTTTTTTGGGTATCTGTACAAATAAATACTTTTTTTTGGAAAATATTCGTAAAACTTTTATTCTATTTTCTTTTTAGTTCCAGAACAAAAAAAAATGTGTTTTTACTTAGTAATTAAACTGGATAAGTTGCCTCAATAGTGTGATCACTAGAGTTCGGGGTTTTCGTCGGTTAGTCATAGGCGTGTTCGTCGTAAACAAATAAATAAACAGGTAGGTGTAAATAAAAATAAATAAATTTGCGTACTTTATCAGCGAAAGGTCGTTTTTTACCCCTTGACGCGTTCGATGTTATTAAAATATTAAAACACACATACACGAAGCAAACGCGAAGCCAATAACTCCCGTTATTACCGGTTTGGTACAGTGCTTTGTATGAATAAATTTTGCGATCCAGTGAATTATCCCAAAATTATTACACACAAACACAAAAACACAACAATTTTGCAAAAGGCAAGGAAGGAACTTATTTTCAAACGTGCTACAAATTTATGACGTAGTTCTGTTAAAGAACATTTCAATAATTTTACTATATTTTTTAGAATATTTTTGGCCGTAATAACATCGTATCACAATATAATACTACATATATCAAATTGCATCATAGTATAGTACGCTACTTATGCATGTAACTAAATCATATTTAAACTTTTCCACGCAAATCACTTCGTGATCATAGTTTGCAGATAATCTAAAATACGTAAAAGTTCTTTGCAAAAAGAGCAGTGCATGCTTTGTGCTATGTACTTTATGTGGATTAGT